ATATTAGCCCATGGTAGTGGGTGATGACAGTTATTAGAGTGGACTGATTGGCAGTGTTGGTTTCTATCACAGCATTGCTCAATTTCTGAGATATTTCCATAAGTTGTTGAGTTCTCCGTCTATGATTGAAGGCCTTTTCATCTCTTTCTGATTAGATTTTTCCTATTTTGTAGTTCAAATATTGGAGGACACATGATTAAAGTTGCTGTGACTTTTCATTGCATAGACCCTTTACAACCTGCGATGTTCCTCTGTTTCTGCTAATTTACTTTGCTCTAACATCTGTTTTGTCTGATATCAATATCAAATCCCATGTTCTATTTTGATTCATGTGTACATCTAATATAGTTTTATTTTTCTTACCCAGAATATGCCCATGTCATCTTATTTGAAATTAATTTCTTGTAGATGTCATAATGTTTGATTCTATTTTTTGATCTACCAATTATTGTCTTTTAATTACTATATTCAGATATGATATTATTATATGAATGTGAAGTCTATTAATTTGTATTTCAAGAGGTTTTAATTATTTTCTTTTCCATGTTTACTGTGGATTAAATGATTGTTTCCTCAAATCTCTTTTAACGTGTCTGTAACATAGCCAGTACAGGTTATTTAGCAATAGATATTATATTGTGTATATACCATTTATGCACCTACTACACCATTTTATCACTGACAGACAAAGAAAATGTTCTTTTTTATGTCTCTTTGAATTAATCAGATGGTTACTAAAGGTTTTCTGTGTGCACATTGAGCAGGGCATTGCACAGTGTCTTACATTCATTCCATCTGCCCTCTTGGGAGGAGAAGGCAACCTCTTCTCACTCATCTTGTTGCTTACTGAGTTCTTTCTCTGCCTTGCCTATTCCAAGTTTTCTTTTATATAAGAACTTTCTTCCTGGTAAGAAAACATCTAACATCTTTTAGCCACTAGCTGAAGGGTAGCTATGCTGGCAATACATGTTCTTAATAACCATGACCTACCGATGCCAGATATCCCCTTCATTCATGATAGGTTTCTTTAAAACTTTTAAAAAATTATTTATTTCATTAGTTTGTTTTGCCTGCATGTATGCTTATGCACCACATATATGGCTGATTCCTGCAGAGATCAGAAAAAGATATCAAATTCCTTGGAAGTAGAGTAATGGTTAGTGTGACCCACCCCGATGATGCTCAGGGTTAGACCTGGTCTTCTGCACAGATGCTTTTACATTCCAAGTCATCTTTCCAGGCTCTGGGTTATAAGATTCTGAGTTGAGAGTTCCTTGCTCTGACACTTGAAAAGATACTCTATCACTTCTGGTTTCTGGAAAGAAATGATCTGTCATTTAAAATAGTTTTCTCTAAAGCTGTTTCCGTGTGGGCTTTCATGGCACCTTCTTTTCCAAGTTTTCAGAAATTTAGTTAGATATACCTCTACATCAAGTTACCTGGGTTTATCTTATTTGGAGTTTGCTTGACCTTTTGAATCTATAGATTAATGTCTTTTGGCAAGTTCCTGAAATTTTCAGATATTATTTTTGAGTACTTTTTAGCCCATATTTGTTTTCTATTTCCAGGACTGAAATGCTCTGTGTAATACTTTGTGTCTTGAGTTATCATCATAGCCTGTGAGCTGAGAACTTGGTCATCAAACTGACACTATTAGGAGGAAATGAAACTTTTAAGTGTTAGGGTCCTGATGGGAGGATAGGACTTTGAAGGGAACATTGGGACTCTAGCTTCTCTGTTTCAGTTCCTTGTTGCCAGTATATAATATGCTTCCCTGCCGTATACTTTTTATCTTGATTTCCATGTTTTTCTATCTTCCGTGGCCCAAAGGAACAGGACTAAATAGCCGTTAACTACAGTTTCTGAAGCTGCATCTCTAAATAAAGATTTCATCTTCATAAGATGTTTCATCTCAACATTCTTTGCAGTGACAGAAGACAAACATGACACTAGTGACCAGTCCCTTGACTGGGACTCTGTTTAATTTTTCAACCTCTTATCTCTATCTCTGTTATTCACATTGGACAGCTTCTATTCATCTGTCTTCTAAAGTCCCTGAGTCTTTTCTCTGTCTGCTTCATTCTGCTGATGTGCCCAACCACGAAGCACTTACTTTGGGTACTGTACTTTTCTATTATAAAATTTCCATGTAATACTAATTTTCATTGCATCTCTGTTCTGTGACTATACTTTTTTGCATTTGTTTCAAGCAGCTCATAATTGCTCACTGGAGCACTTTGCCATGGCAGCTTCAAATTGTGAATTAGATAATTGTAAGACTTCTGTCATCCAGGTGTTGACATCTGCACTCATTTCCTAGGGGTTTTAGAACAATGTACCGCAAACTGGGTGGGAGAAAAGACTAGTAAACCGTTGTTTCCTGCAGTGTCACAAGACAGAACTTTTAAATTGAGATGTCAGCCTGCCCAGGTATCTTCCGAGAGCCACGGCAAATCCTTTGCTGCCCTTCCTAGTTTTTGATGACGTGCTGGAAATATTTGGCTTTCCTTGGTTTGCAGCTTAGTAGCTCTTTGACTTTGTCATAACAGGTGCCTTTGTTGTGTATCTCCCCCTCTTTTTTTTTTTTTTTACAATGACTCTAGTTTTGTTGAATTAACCAACTAACATATCATCATAAACAATCATATCTGTCAAGTTTCTACTTCCAAACAAGGACACAGCTAAAGTTTTATAAATAATGCAGTTAAGTACATAACGGCGTTATACATTGTCTTTTCACTTCCAGTCTGAACTCTTTCTGGTTCCTCACATAATGGGCGACATAACTTTTTGCCATAGTTTAGAATACTTTGCAGCTCTGTTTGGTTGCTTTTTCTGACAATGATCTGGCAAAGGAAAATGTAAATATTATCCCGTTATTGGAAAGTGTGGATAAAAATCCCTACGTGTCTGACACACAAGGAAAGGAGACTACTGCAACTCTTGGGAGGAGATGGGAATTTTGCTTTCACAGTCTCCATAGCTTATACTGCAGAGATCTTTGTATCCCTAGAATGGTCCTACGAGGCCCTCTCTGACACATGCCACTGAGACTGCAAGGGGTTTCTACCATGCCCAGGTGGAAAACGAAATCCATGCTTTCTGCTTGATCTTCCTGTCACCATCCTGATAAATAGGTGGCTTGTTTTGTTTTGTTTTTCGAGACAGGGTTTCTCTGTGTAACAACAGCTCTAGCTGTCCTGGAACTAGCTCCTGTAGACCAGGCTGGCCTCAGACTCACAGAGATCCGCCTGCCTCTGCCTGCCAAGTGCTGGAACTAAAGGCATGGTGTCCCTTTTTACATTGCAAAGGTCCATGAAAATACCTATACTTGTTGGCATGGGTAGAGGTGAGATTGTAATTTTGCCCATGAAATTAGGTAGAAAACAGTTGCTATTACCTAAAACTTTTCAGTTTGATAGCTTATTTCTTTACTGGAAACCCTATACCACTAATGTATCAGAAACAAAAAAATATCAGGTTTTATATAGCATATTTGAAGCAAAATTAAAATACATGGAGGCCAATACTTCACAATTTATTAGACCCAAGTCATCAACCATCTGAATTTTCTCCACATTCCCTTTTGTTATGTGGTTTATGACTAGGGGTTTAAATGTATTTAGTGGGATAAATAGGGATATGTGGATTTATTCTGCTCATCCCCAAGCAGAACTTGGTTTGCTTTTGTGTCTTAAAATTATGGACTTTTATTTGCTTAGAGATATCTGTGTCTAATTATATACTTTTTTAAACCTTAGATTGATCTCATTTTTTAACATAAAATTCAGTTCTTATAAAATAATGTTTTAAGCTACTGTAATGACTTGTGTCACTTTTCCTATTTCATTCATCACTTCTGCATATTTTTGTACTTAAAACTATATCAGAATTATATTTTCTATATATTATATAAGTTATTGTATATAATTATACATAATAAAATATGTAATCTAACAAAAAGTATTATATTAAAAGTTTACTATTTAATTCCTTCATTTTTGAGTATGATTTACTTTTTACTTATTAAGCTGTAACGTAATCATAACTTCAAAGTGATGTCATTGCATGATCAGATCTAATAAATGACTTTAGAAAGCAGACAAGCAGATAAAACCCGCTTTACACATAGGATTGATGGGATGCTTTTCATCTTCTCTGCTGATTCCATGAGTCATTGGCTCTTGTTCCTTTCATTGTGAGATCATAAGAAGATCTCAACCTGTGAACTCTAGTTGTGTGCCAGCTAATGGATTACGTGACCCTTGTGCTGTGGAACTGCTTCAAGTTTTGTTCAGCTTTTTCTTCTAGCAAGGCATCGTAAATAACAGGCCTGTGCGTCTAGGTATTGCAGTTTCCTGAGAGGCTCAACAGAGGACTACCTCCGCTAGATGCAGTACACAGAGAATACTCTTTTGTCAAGGTAACTTGAGAAAACTCTCTGAATGCCATGGCAAGTTTGGTATTGTGTAGACCTCGAATAGAAATGGAAATCACACAGCAGATTAAGTTTCTCTCTTTTCTTTAGAACTAGGAAGGTGGGAACAATAGAGGGGTGATCTGATGCCTAACTATGCTTCGGTGCTTTCCTTATTTGTAACTTCCTACTCTAGATTTACGTTATTTAAATTTTCTACTTGAAATTATTATCCTGGCTTTTCATTTTTTTTTAAATATCTTGACAACATTATTGTAAATATGTTGATTTCTTCTAGGCAAAAACAATTTGATTATTAATAGTCTCCAAATAATTTCACCCTCCTATAAATGTGAAGGGTTTCATAAATGATACCTGTTGTCTTGACAAATAATTTAGACACAACTTATGAATAGACGTGTCCTTACCCTAAATCATCCCAGAAAATAATCATTGTCCTAGTCTCTGCCTCCCATTCTCCATTCATGAAATAACCTTTACCTATTGGTGGTGCTCACTTGGCAGTCTTACCGTTCTGCTGTCTGCAGTGACTGTGGTGTTCATTTTGCAAAGTAATACTTACTTATCTGTCAGCATCCTGTAGTCTGCCACTTTAGTGCACAGATCAAGGATTTGATCCAATATTTCTGCACATATCCCATAGTGCTTCTCAAAGCGTGCTTGAGCTCTTTCCACAGCGATCTTCTCATGGGCTTCTTTTTCCCTCAAGGTTTGTTCCGCGAAATCAATCTTGGCTTGTTTGGCGAGAGCCTAAGAGGGCAAAAATGAACTCTCAGTCACTATTATTATGCAATTATTCGTATGAAGGTAATGTCATAATACAGAAAAAAAAATCTTTAAGTAGAATGAAACCCCCTTTATATCAGGGTTTAACTGATCAAGAATCATTTTTCACTCCTTACCACACAACATGTGCTAAGCAAAGGCAGTGTCTGTTAAACTCCATGTTTAGCTCATCAGCAAAACAGACTACCGAGGGAAGTGGTGTGGATGGGAAAAGATCGGTGTCATAAGAACAAATTGATCTTTGGCTTTCCTGAAGGTGTCTCAACTATATCATCTGCTAAGAGCCAAATGTCATAGGGAAATGGTTAGTCTGGGTCAGCTGGCCCTTACACATCTGGGACCAGGCTCCCCATCACCAGGAACACATGCTCTGATGACTGTACTTCACTTTTCAGCATTAACTCACTGACTGACTAACTATGAAGTAATTAGATTTTAGTGCATTGAGATAACACGGTTGACACATTGTAAGTGTGGTTAAGTCCTTGCTGCTTTAGCCTTTATAAATTTATAACATTCATTTGTAGAAACATGTATGTCCACAAAAAGCAATTAAATATTTCAACACCTTATCACCACCCTCTACTTTATTTGTATGGTGGCAATCATTTTGCTTAAATCATTCTTTACATAGAACACTGGCTAGCCAAGCTGAAAACAACATAATGCTTAGTTGGAGAGATTCAAATGATCAAGTGCTGCTTTTGAGGAAACTTTACCAGCTGCTCCAGCAATCAGATCATGTGCTAAGCTGCCGCACTAATAGGATCTAAAATCCTGTGATTTAATTTAGCCAGTAGAAAACAGAAATAAATGTGGGTTTCAGAGGAACTGCCTACAAATTTAAGCCCCAGCTTGTACACGGAATTCAAGTTCAAATTATTTCAGAACTCGAACAAATCATTTATCCTTCTTCAGTCTCAATTTCCTCAAAGGAGGGATACTAATAATTTTAGCATAGTCAGAAAAGTTAACTGATCCATTTCATCTGAACAAGTAGTTTTTTTCACAACACAGCTGATAAATGAGAAGATTAATGACAGCAGATTGCTATGGAAAGTCAGTCATTTGTTTTTACTGTTGACATCTTATTTCACATATTTAATTTCACTGGGATGAATATCATTTAAGATCAATCCAGTGTATTTGATAGATTCAGGAATGACACTAGAATTTTTCATTTCAGAGACCCTGTAGAGAGAATGAACACAAGTGAGACAAGGAGCTTTGTGTTATCTTCCTTGATATCAGGAAGATCTCAGATGAGAAAGGAACTTGACATTGATGAGAATTTACAGTGACAATAACACTAATAGATGGTGAAGGTGGTTCTCCATAGGAACCACAACATTAGAAAGAAATGACAGAATTTCCCTATCAGAAACAGAACAGCTTCCATTCGGGACTGACATCTGACTTCCTCTTCCTCCTCCATGTTTTCCTTCCTTCTTTTCTCCCTTCCTCCTTTCCTGTCTTCCACTCTCTCATCTTGGCTTCCTCCTTGTCTCATTTCTTGTTTTCCATTCACCTATTTTGTCTCTCTGGTCCACTTTTCCTCTGCCATTCACTCTGAGCTAGACACACCATCCTCTCCCATCTATCACATCAGGGTATGTAGCATCCCTAAAAGGAGACCGAGGTAATATAAAAGAAGGCTGCAGATGTAATAATCCTTCACAGTGTTTAGCTCGGGCTATGGAGGCCTAAAGGAAATCTCTGCTCTCAACAAGGTATGTCATTGTCAAACTTTTGACTTGACTTTCCTGATGTGTCAACCTTAGATCCAGATAGTATTCATGTGTATTTTTTTTGCAAGAATTATATTTGCATGTAATGAGCCTGGCGCAAAGGTGATTTGACGCAAATGCTCAAAATGATGCAATTTATTATTATTTATAACAGTAGGTGGCACCAAAATTTAAAATCAAGAGCTACGAGTTTAGATGAAATGTGCTTTATCATGAAGCAATGCAGAAAGAAGCAGCAAGGTGGTGAGCTGAGTGCCAGCGCCTTGTTTACTGAAAGTCCTTCTCTACTGTCCAGACAGGATGTGAAATGACAGTAGTGTAAGCTACCTGAAATGCTGGGCGCAGGAGTTCCAGGTCTCTGCCATCAAGTTTGACAAAATGATGAAATAAACTTGAGTTCCCCAATGGGAGATAGACAAAAGTCAAAGTAATACATGGTTAAAAAGTCTGTTTTTGTTATGAGACGCCATACCCATAAAGCGCAAGAGAAATAGGATGTGGTAAATTAGTAATAGATTCGATTTTTTGATTTTCACGTTTCCAAATAATACCACAGTAGCAAAGAACATACCCAGGAGACAGATCTTGGCTTCTGGGCAGTGTTCTCACTGACAATAAATTAGAGTATTTCCTGCCTCTCCACAGACAATTATAGTTTAGAGGAAGGAGCAGTACAATATAGGTTTCAGAAACATAGAAATCAATGAATTGTTTATTTAAAACAATTTTTCTTACTGAAAAAAAGGCTCTTAAAAGCTCTCTTCTGCCTCAGCATAATCACCTGAAATTGTCCATACCAGTGTTCACACTGGTAACTCTCTTGAACTTTAGAGATGAAGACTTCCCTTGGGTGTCTGAGGTAAAAACCACAATGACTCAAACATATGAATCTAGATAGTCAGCACTGGCCTTCTGTCAACACCGTATTTGAGGAGAGTGGAGAGACAGATGTATTTTAGATACTCAAGGAAAATACAGATGAAGCAAGTACTCCAAACTGACCACCAAGTTCAGAGCACACATTAGCAACAACATGCAGGCCCCAGAGAATGTCAAGATAGTTCTTATAGCACTTCCTGGGGAATCATTTGGAATTAACACTTCAAAAGCATGCAACATGACTAGAGACAGCTAGAGACAAGAGACCATGGGACTGGTGGCAAGCATGCGGTGCTTGGCATCAAGTTAGCTGGGGGAGGGTGCAGCATGATGGGGCTGCCTCCTCCTATGTCAGTTACAAGCTGACGTCGAAGTATGATTTTTAATGGAAACTTTATTTACCGCTTCTCGATCAAGAGCATCCTGGAAATCCTTAAGTCGCCTTTCTTCATATTGTTTCTCCCTGAAAATTCTATTTTGCCACAAAACTTCCTTTTCGTGCCGAACGTGCATGAGCTGCACAGCAATCCTGCGCTCCTGCTGGGACTGACGCATCAGCCGGTGAATTAACTGTTCTTCCCGATAGGCCTCCTGCAAACACCAGCACAGGTGCCAAAGGTTTGTCAAAGGCAAGTCCAGATTCTCCACTGGACTCAGAAGTGAGTGTGCAAATAATGTACGGAAGGCATGACAACCATCTAAGTCAACTTCTGCCCTTTAGTTTAAATTTGAACACATCCACACACACACAGATACACACATGCACATATGCACCCATGTATGCACACACACATGCCTGCACATGAATGCACACACAAGAAAGAATTGCAATGGCATCTATTTCACCACTGAAGTATAATACTAGATCTTTCCAGAAACATTATGGTATTGAAATTTATAACTGCTTCAAATAAGTTGTTAGTGCCTTTAAAATCTAACAAAAAACAAGTCATGCGAGTTTTGAAAGTTTTCTAAACAGGTAAAGTAATTCTTATTTCATAATATGTTTCAGAAGTTTGGAAATCAGGTGTATGCACTTTAAAAGAATGACTCAGTATGGATGACTGACAATAATACAGAACTGCTGCTTTTCTAGGGTGAAAAGTCAAAATCTTAGGAGGGAAAGCTAAAACTCAATGAAAGATGAAACCTGGAGATGTGGAAATTGCTGGTCACTCATCATAGGCACCGCGGCAGTTAGTGGGAAGCAGAGAATGGATGTGTTACTGGCTGTCTGCAGGAGAATGGAGGGGAAGTGAACAGGGAGAAAGAATGAACTGTGAATCAGGTTGGATGTTGCGCCTTATCTGGCTGTGTGCTTAGTATGAGCAGTTTGGTTCTGCAGGGTCCCCTTTCTTCCTAGGTGGTAATGAGGGACTTAGAAAAAAAGCAACTCCTCAAGCCAGGAGGATTTCTTTGTCTAAATAGAGGTGTCATATGGAAAAAGGAGGTACGTGTAGTTCTCAGTGGGACTTGAAAGAATACCAGTGTTTCAAATTTAATACCCAACCATCCAGTGTTTTATAGAGAAACTCCTGGATCAATAATGGCATTGTCTCAAAGGATCTACAGCTATAGCATTATAGGAGGAACACTGCACATTTTTTTCAGAAGCAAAATACAAGGAGCACCCTACAGTGAATGCTGAAACATGAACTCTAGGCTTGCTTTAAAATTTTAAAGCTCAATAGAAAATGAATAAGACATTTTTTTCTGTTCATAAGATGTCTTAGATACAGTCATGAACAACTTAAGAGGTGTTCTGTCTAGTTATTAAATTCTAAAAACAACTTATCGTTAATAATTCTTATCCCTTTATTATCTACTAATAGAAGAAGAGCAGAATGCAAAAATGGACACATATTCTTCCTTTCCTTTATTCATAGCTCTGCATTGTGACCTTATATGAGCCAACAACAGTAAGAATCTCTTGTTATACTCCATAAATTTGGTATGTGGTATGACCATTTACTTGAACTGATAACCAAGACATCGACCAAAAAAAGGCACAAAACAAACAACAACAAAAGCTAAAACAATAACCCCAAAGACATCAAAAAGCACTTGAGGTTTGGCTTCTAAAATCTTATAACAGTCATTGTATACATGACCTGAGCTACTAGAAAAGGAAAGACTTTAAGAGCATGTACTTGTCTCCCAGGCAGGACTTAGCAGATTTTGGAGGTCAGACAGCACCAGTCAGCTACCAGCTGATGCCTTAACAGCCCAGCCAAGAGGAGCAGAAGAGTGCAGCTGAGCCCAGGCCCTGGTACCAACTGAATTGTGGTCTAGTTTGGAATAGACAAACCACAGTTTCAAACATATTTATTTAAATATGAAGTTGCTTCATTGTTCTGTAAGATTAGACTGTGTTTACACAGCAAGATAACTTAGCTGTCAAAATGTACTCGGGTTAGCCAACCCTTATAAGGAACATCCTGGTCTGGTGAGTCAAGTTTGGATTAGTACTGAGATTAAACTGAGAAAAACAGAGAGGGAAGATTGTGGGCTGGCTGCATTAAGGCTATGCCTGTGAAGTTTCAGTTTGAAGATCTATGAGAACCTTCACATAAAAATTAAATGGAAAAGATTTTGTTGCTCTTGTTCTCTATGGAAGTAGTTCACATTTCAGAAATGGATGGTTTACTACAATTTCACTGAAATGTAAGACATTTTTTCATACAAACTAAGATACATGGCAGTTCCTGGTAAGGAAGGCAACAACCCCAGAACATTGATTAATTATTGTCCTGTATTTGTAGTGAATAAATGAAAATAGGATTCACTTCTATCTAAATAGTATTTGCACATTTGGGGAAGATTTCAAAGAATATATAATCTAGAATAGCCTCCATTTGATTATAGGCTTCCCACTTCCCCGTGAGGTTTCCTGGGTAACAATTAAACACTTTTCCCTTGACTGCAATGGAAGAAAGGGTCACTGTACTACTTATGAATAACTGAGTACCCAAGGGTCTATAGCCACTCAAGAGGAAGGAGGGTACTTTAAAATTTATAAGTAAGGGCTTTGCTCTTCTGATGTGAGGATCTACCTATGACATCTTCCTTAGAGTGGCAGACAACATGTATATAAAATAGTATTTGTATAGATACAAGGCCACATATTTTCAAGTGCTCAGTACTTTTAGTGGAGAACATGAACTGCCTCACCTCCTGGGCTTCATGGGCTATTAACTGGTCCATCAACAACCTCCGCCGTCTTTTCTCCCTTTGTTCACGTGCGAAAGCATCTTCTTCTAGGCGTTTCTGGATCTTTTTAATGTACTCATCATCTGAATAAGTGTTTAACAAATCGGTAGCTGTCTGGTCTGTTGTTTCTAGAGAAGTCTTGGATGCACTAAAGGTAACAAAATTTTGTTAGATTTTAACACTGTAATTACATGCCCCTTAACTGTGTTTATGAAAGACTTCTGGAGAAAACTCCTTTCAGTTTGTTTTTAACCTACTGATGGAAGCACTGGATAAACGTTGAAGCCTGTAGCTTATTTGTAGATTATATTTTCTTTAGCTCAGTCTTTAGCTCTATCTCTCTAAGGTTCTTAACATAGCTTTTTTTTTCCCTAAAGCCCATCTCCTCATTTCCCAATTCTTAACTTTTCAGTCTAATTAGAGATTCTGGTTTCTTTCCTGCATTTATCTATTGGCCTCTTGCTTCTCTTATTGTAAGTCAAAAATAGAGAAACTGTAGATAATTTAAATGTCAAAGAAGGCACCTCAATGACAATAGACTAGACATAATCAATGTTAGTTTATCTAGAATATAGTACCTATATTGATGGCTCCATTCACTATTACTCTGTTCTCACCTACAGTGGTGCAAGTTACTCTAAGTACTCCCAAATGTACTTATGACTTCTTAGGGCATTGGCCCAACCTTTGTTAGGAACTTTAAGAGTTCAAAGTTGACACACTTATCATGACTCAGCATAGGTCTGATCTGGCATCAGCGCAGACCTTCCTAAAACATGAACACCTTAAGTTTATTGAAACAAATGGTTCCTTAGCATTAAGTTTATAGTCATTTAAAAGTTATCATTTAAAGTAAAAGAAATATTTTATGTGCATAGAAATTAAATCATCAATCCTCATCTGTACATGTCTTTAAAAAGCCATTAGAATACCTCAGTATAGCTGCATAAGATATATGATAGTGTTGCTTGACAAGGATAGTGAATTTATATTATGAATCATCACTGTGTATGATATCACTAACACAGAAAAAATAATTTACTTAGAAAAAAACAAGGGCATGTTACTAAAGAGTTTTATGACTAAAGAGTCATTCATTTTCATACAGGCAGAATTACTACTGCAAAAGCATGTTTACTCTGAGATTAATACACACTTATTATGTAGGTCCTATCAGATTCTAGATCACAATTTGTAGGTTTGCTGCTCCAAGCTAAATTGTGGATCCATAGGAAAAGTATTCTTTTCTTGCTCTTTGTACAAACAGTGCTAAATTTCAAAACTATGCAGAGAATCACATGCAGGTAAAAGACACTACGATTCTGATTATTTTACCCACAGGAGGTCCAGACATGGTTGTATTTTGTCCTGAGAGGAGCTAGAATAAACTGTTTCAGAACCCAGTACACAGGTGGCCAGAGGCAGAGCTGACCTTTGCTTATTAAGAGGTAATACATTTAAAGCCCCTCATGGTGGCTCAGGTCTGTAATTTGTGTTTGGGAGGTAAAGGCAGGTGAATTTCTGTGAGCTCAAAGCTATCATGACTAACATAGTAAGTTACATGCCTCCAGGACTACATGGTGAGACCCCCACCAACAAAAATAAATAAAAACTGCCCTTGGGCCAGTTTCAAACCCCCCCCCCTTTTTTAAGGTTAATACGATTAAATGTCTGTGGAAGATATATGACCATTCAGAAAAATTCTTACCATTCTTTTGTCTAAATGTGCTGTTGCAAAGATTCTGTTCTAGCCAGGCAGTGGTAGTGCCAGCACTCAGGAGGCAGAGGCAGAGAGCACTCTGTGAGTTCGAGGTCAGCCTGGTCTACAAGAGCTAGTTCCAGACTGGTTCCAAAGCTACAGAGAAACCCTGTCTCAAAAAACCAAAACAAACAAACAAACAAACAGAACCAAAAACAACAACAACAACAAAACCAAAGATTCTGTTCTAGATTAAGTACAGGTTAATTGCTCCCTCAATACTGTGTTTATGCTGCCAAAACTACCTAGTTCGTGAGTTCTCAGTTTTTCATCAGTCAATCTATCCATTCTTCCATCCACCCACTTATTCATCCATCAGCTCACGAGTTATTGAAGACTCCATATGCAAGGTAATGACAAGGAGCTGAAAATGTTGCATTTTCCAATCAAAACATTATACATTCCAAAAAGGCATTAAAATATTACACTGTATCCCATAAATATATATTAGTTATTCAAAAATTAAAATTATACGAAAGACTTAAAAAAGGTGTTGATGCTAATTGAACAGTTTAATTGATGTCTGTATACATCAAATTATCATACCATATGAATTTTTAAAATTAAAATGATAAAATTAAATTTGTAAACATAAAAGAAAGATATATGGTAGTTTCATTAAAAATATATTTATTTTATTACATGTGTGTGTTTTGAAGACAGTAGTTATAATGTATTGATAGCTGAATGTTTACCAAACATTCATAGAGATTAATGGATTTTTACATAGGAATTATCAGTATAGAAATTTTGTCAACTATTTATTTTGGGAATTATTTGGTGTGTCTATCACACCAAAAGCCAAACTAAAGCATCCGATAAAGCTCGGCTAAGTAAACAGATTACTGATAGTATTTATTAGTTGTTTAACATAAACGAACAAAATACAACACCTAATGAAAGTGTCTGCGTCAGGGTGGGGCTGTCAGAGGAGCGCCACACTGCTAGCTGAAAACTTTCCGTTTTTCCATAGAAGGAAAAGGGTGGGCTTTGAGGTGACAGCCCTTGTCTCTGAAGGTCTTTTCAAGCATGGGCTCAAAAGAGGCAACTGCCTGAAACTGTTCTTGAGACGCAAACGTGTGTGTGTGTGTGTGTGTGTGTGTGTGCGCGCGCGCGCGCGCGCACGCGTGAGTGTGTGTATGTGTAAGGATAATAAAGAGAACGTGGATACCAATTAGAGAGTGGGGGTACATGAGAGGAACTAGAGGCAGGGTACCTTGGAGGGGCTGGAGAAGGAAATGGAAAGGGGAAAGGTTGTAACACTATGAAAATTTAAAAAAATGTTACAAAAAAATTAACTTTTTTGCAACAAGTTAGCATGAGGTTTCTAAATGATTCCAGAACAGCCTCAATTGAAATTTCAAAATGATTTTTAAAAGTAGTTCTTGATTTAAAAAAGGGGAGGGGCTTTTAAAAAGCCCGTGGTCCTATAACTTTGATTTTCTTTCTCACTTGGCTTTAGACCAAGACTTCCCGGTCATTTTTTTATTGTGGCCCTCAGCAGAGTTATTTGTGGAGCACATTACTAGAGACTTCTTTCCAGGTGAGGCGCTCTGAGCTACAGATAACCGACTCCTGGTGGCGCTCCAGCTGAGTCGTGTCCTGCACTGCCACTCTGAAAAGGGGGACTCTTTGTTTCATGTCCACTTCCAGGTCCCCTTAGAAATTTCTAGCAGGATTAAATGGAACCTTCCAGCACACACACACACACACACACACACACACACACACACACACCAAAAACAAAACAGAAAGGAATTGAAAGAATAGCGTGGACAAAGTACCTCCCATGCTTACGGATCAAAAGAACCCATATTTTGAAAATGTTTACATTACATTATTAAGAGCAATGTATAGATTCTGGAGTTTCACCACCTAAATTCTTCATAGAATGGGAAATATTATAAAGTTCATAAAGACTCTAGATATCCCAAGCAATCTAAGCAAAAAGAGAAATTCTGACAATATTTTAATACCTGCTCTCAAAACATAAGACAGAGATATGACAACAAATCCATGATAATAAAGTTCAAAAATAAACAAGTCCAGCAGGGACACGGAATACAATATCCAGAGATGAATGCAGGCAGCTACAGTCACTTGGGTTTTGAGAAATGTACCAAACTTGCATTGGGGGAAAGATGGGTCCTCTGCAAAAAAGTTGCTGAGTGACCTAAACATCCACATGCAACCTCTTTCCCTTTCTCTTGCTTATATAAAAGTCAATTAAAATGGCTTGAAGACTGTAATGTAAGACTTGAAGGTTTGAAACTACAGGGCGTATAGGTACAGACACAAACTCATTGTAAAGAACTCAGTAGTCCACGAGACAGTAGCAAGCATTGGTAAATGTGTTTGAATGAAATATGAAAGCTCTCATACAAGAGATACAAGAAACCACGAAGAGACAAAGGCAGAATGGCAAATCTTCCTTGTCACCTACGTACTTTGGATTCTGGTTTTAGGGACAAACGTTATGTTAATAAAGGGCATGGGGATCAAGGCAGAGCATCAGAAAATAGTACAGAAGGTGGGAGAAAGGAAAATAGGTATATTTTCCATCTTTCTTGATTTTCTTTCCATATCTGACCTTCCTACTGTTTCTTTCCTGACTTTCCATTCTTCATTGGACTCCATAATTCCCTCAGAAACATTTAGACACAAGAGGAGCATGTTGTTTAATTGTGTATTTTCCTTTAACAAAGAATTCTTTCACATTTCATAAGATGTAAATGTATAGAGCTTGGTTAGTTTCCACTTTTAAAGACAAAAAATCCCTACACTGCTCCTACAGGAGTTAATTAAATTATAGCCTCTTTATATTATAGCTTCTAATGGGTTATGTTCAAGGAATCACAATAAGAAATAAAAGGATATAAGTTTATATATAGGTAAATGGAGCTATTAAGGGCTCACAATTTACAGAAGAAAACTCATAAAATTGCATAACATTTGGTGCAAACCTCACTCAACAATACTTTATTGCTGTACTCTGTGATAAACACGGGGTGTGACATAAAAAAAATTGAACTGGAACCCAGCTGCGGCTTTCCTATGGAGCATTTAAATCAGTGTAACAATTTCAGTAAATGTCTCAAAGTGAATGTGAACATAAAAAAATAAACACAACGTGAAAAAGTAAATTGACTTTACATTTCCTGATACCCATTTTCCCAGCCTAGATCAAAATTGTTAGTGAGGAAATACCGAATTTTAAGTCTTGTTATCTTCTCTTCTTTCATGTAGTCTTTTAATAAACGTTCTTCAAAGCAGAAGATCCTTCAGCAACTTTGCTAAATAAACTATTTGCAAATATTCAAAGTTATTCACAGGACATTTTTGTGATATAAAACATTATATCCTACCTTTCTTTGGCTTGGAGATCCTTTTTTATTAGTGCTTCAAATTTCTTAATCTCATTGGCCACATCCTTTAAAGAAAATACACCATTAGTTCCCTGCCTTTCAAAGCCATTGAGAAACTTCATGTTCAACCAGTTTCAAATGGTAACACATAGTTCTAATTCAAAATAATTAAGAGCAAGATAAGAAAAGATGCCTTCAGGAATATTTTTGTAATTCTTATTTGTTCTTTTAGATGAGGCTAACCTGAATCACTTAATTCATGATTCTATCTCTCATTTTAAAACTGTGTGCATGTGTATGTATGTGATGTGCAAACACATGTGTGCGTGTGTGTATGAGTGTGTGTGTGTGTGTGTGTGTGTGTGTGTGTGTGTACAGTCTACTGCCCCCATTGAAGTGAGAGGACAGCCTCCAATTTTAGTCCTTACCTCCAGTCTTGTTTTAGATAACATCTCTTGTCCACAGCAGGGAATTCTCCTGTCTCAGGCTCCACCTCACAGCAGGGGAACTAGGATTATAGACACAAGCTACCACATGTGTGTTTGTGCAGCAGGTGGTTGAGCTGCTGAGCCATCTCCCCCGAGAGTCTCCCTTCCATAGTGTACCAAAGGTAGTTAATGAAGGTGAAGTTTAAGTATAAATATTTCTTGCGAGTGTTTGTGTTAGGTGTTTTAAACATTGCCCATGCAAGTTCGCTAACTCTATAAATTTTTCTTAAATATTTCAGCTCACGTATGTACTATTAATCTTTATTAAAAACTTTTATCAACTCAGGTAAATTTAATTTTATTAGTAAAAATGGATCCAGAAAAATATGTGAATAATATTCCTAAAATTCAAGTATAAGATATTTTGTTAAAGTTTTTAAAATAAAACAGACTAATATAAACACAATGGGTTTGGATGAGAAAGTGAGGCCAATATCTTCTTCACTAGCACTCATGAACTACAATAAAACATGTCAGCATTCAGGTTTCAATTAGTTATTATCATCAAAACATATTTTAATCTAAAATGTGTTACCAGAAACAAGTCAATTAACATTTCTGGGATTCATAACAAATTACATTGCATGGTAAAGAGGAATGGTGTGTTCACAACTGCATCATATTAGACTCCCTATAAACACAAGAGTCAAAGTAGACATTCCCACATTGGGAGTTTGATCTCCCTGGCTTGAAATTACATCCTGTTATTGAACAAACAATAGTAAAATGAATTGAATGCATACAAACTGGGGAAATTTTGGATAAGAACAGGAAAGATCAAGGATACTTTGAAAAGAAAATACAAATTTTCAGAAGGTTTCTGCACATTACAAAAAAAAGTACAATATTTAAGAGAAAAGACAGCAGTAAGTGACTGCAACTTACCTCTGCCTCCTTTTTCTTTTTCATCAGCTTTTGAGCCTCTAGTGCTTTCAGAGTACGATTTGGTTCGGGCTTAGGGATCTGGATAATGGCTGCTTGGATTTTGGCCATTATCTCGTTTTGTCGTCTTCTATTTAAACGTTGCTGAGTATGGCATACATATTAATTTACTTATTCAGCTTGCCAAAATAATAGTTATGTAACATGTGTACAGATATACATATACATAAAATATCTGTTGCCTATTTCAGAACTTAGCAATTGACAAGTGCACAATGTGTCACAATTCCATAATGCCAATATCAACATTATTTACAGAGAAAACTATGCTGCTAAACCACAACAATGAAATACTATAATTATGACTAAATGTGTATGTATTGTTCTTGTGTGTGATGGTACAAGAATAGTCAGGGGTCTAGATACAAAGATTATAATTCTTTCCCAATGCCACCTTCATGATCAGCCCAATCATGAGAAGAAGATATTCTTTCTCTCATGAAGCCCCTCTGGATTCTATAGACCCATTAGTTGCCAATAGAAAAAAACAGCTTCCCCAAACCCATCCACCTACACATGAGTTCAGGGGCACCCTCAACTATTGACCTGACATTAAAATATAAAGCATCATTGGATAATTTCTTAAGAAGACAGATAATAATTATTTTAAGGACAATATAAACAGAATGATGTAATTGAGAGAAAAATATTTAAAATATGATAAAGTAAAACAAAATATCTTATAAAAACAATAACATAAAAATTTATATCTTTACTACTAAGGCATTGTTGGACTAAATTCACTAATTTCTACAACCAAAGATAAGGAAATTTAATTTACCACTAAATTAAATTGAGAAATTATAATTTTTGTGCTTTTATTTCACTTTCTAAAAAAATGTGATTTTTTAAAAATTTAATTGTCATATGTTTACTTCTTTTTTAAAGAAAACCAGGAAAGTCCAGGCTCTGTCTTTTTTTTATTGATTTCTATTGAGCTCTATATTTTTCTCTCTGCTCTCCTCCCTGCATCCCCTCTCCTTTTCAACCCTCTCCCAAGGTCCCCATGCCCCCAATTTACTCAGGAGATGTTGTTTTTTTCTACTACCCATGTTGATTAGATCTATGTATGTCCCTCTTAGGGTCCTTGTTGTTGCCCAGGTTCTCTGGGGTTGTGATTTGTGGATAAGGAAAATGTGGTAAATTTACACAATGGAGTACTACACAGTAGGAAAAAATAGCAACATCATGAATTTTGCAGGCAAATGGATGGAGCTAGAATACATCATTTTGAGTGAGGTAGGCCAGACCCAGAAAGACAATTATCACATGTACTCACTCACTCATAAGTGGTTTTTAAACATAAAGCCAAGAAAATCAGGCTTTGTCTTTTGTTTTATTTACTTTTTATGGTCATGTTTCACCTTCTCTCTTCCGCAGTATCCCACACTTTTTATCTTTTCTTTCTTTGGAGATTTCCTTCATTAGACTTGACTTTTAAAACCTGGACTGCCTGGTTCAATGCCAATGAAGGCCTAGCACTTGTTCTCAACACTGGAGTTAGAGTATCCAATCTCTACCATGCGAAGGCATTAAAGAATGACCCTGCCCTCTGGCGAGTAACAGAATGCTTTCTGTAAGTTTGCCTCTTGAATGTTTCCCTCCTTCCTCATAAGAAGCTGCCTACATTATGGCTATATTAATTTCTTATCATCTTAATCAATTTAAAAATCAAGTTTCCAAACAAATAGGAAGAATCATAACTCTATTGCCTGTATTTTACACATTCCATAATCCAGCCTCTTGAAATCTTTTAAAAGTCGTTAACGATGATTTTTGTTCTCCTGGGTCTTTAAAGACACAGATCATTAAAAATTTTTCAAAGAGGTTTGAGAAGCAGTGGTGAGTTGCACAAACTAGTTGTCAAGGATAAGATAGTTGGAAAGGGAAGGAAGCAGAGAAGTAATCCATCAAAAAGAAATGAAGCAGGTTATTGAGACTGGAGGAATTGCAGAAAAGTGGACAGAGAGGGCCATGCATAATTGTACCCTCTCTCTTCCACAGGAACACCATGGTAGAGGTCCTTTGGCCAATGCTGTAGCTAGTAGCCAGTCATTTCCCAAAGAAGCTGAGGCACAAATTTCATCCAGTGAAAGAAATGGATTTGCCCTAATAGGCAGTTATTAGTTCTTAGCCACCAGTGCAGTGAACATGAGTGTAAAGATGGAGAGGAGAAAGTACGAGGAGAGATACAGTAAGGCAAAGCAAAGCCATGCATCACAACATGCAATCTATCTACACAGCTGCTTATGCAATGTGTACTTATTACAGGCAGAAACAAATCACCAATAATAGACTAGGTATTAATGAGTTTCTAGAAAAAAAATGTTCTATAGAACCTTTTCGATATTAAAGTGTCTTTGCTCTTCCTCAAGTTTTTGAAATTTTTCAAACTTCTCAAAATGTATTCGGGCAAGATCTTCTTTCATTTGTTTACATTTTTCTTGAAACCTGCATGTAACCCGCATCAGATTGAAATCAGTTTGGCGTGGTATCAGGTTTTTAAGTCTCTAAATGAAAAAAGCATTTCAAAGGTTTCTGTTACTGGAGAATAGAAGGTGGACTGGCATTGCAGTCACATGTAAGCTTTTGCATTAAAAATAAGTTTTATATACATCATGACAGTTGATAGCTAAAATAAGCCAAAAGTATGTTATTCATGTTAATCATTAAAATCTTTAATTGTAATAGACAACAAAACAATATTTGTATCCTCTCTTATAAAATAATGTCATATATATTTACATTTTTGACTGCTCTTAATTTCTTTTTCCCTTTATCAAAAGATCTCTTTACATTTGATTCCCCAGACAACATCCAGTCCTTTCCCAGAATTTTTCCCTAAACTAACAATTGTCTCAGTTCTATGAAATATATTTCATGCTTCCTTTGAACTCCTATTTCCAAAGTTATTGCTATTATTTTCTTATTTCCTTTGCCTCCGTGTTTTTTGAGAAGATAATCTGTCCTCCCTTCTCCCTCCTCTTGAAATCACTATGATGTAATTCCCACTCTACTGACACATTTTCCTCTTGCTGGCATGCGAACATGAAGTGGGTTGGGACTTTCCCAGTGTTACTCACTTGCAAGTGATTGACCTAAAATGGAAACTCAATAAATAGCTACCTAATAGGTGATTGACTCTGGACGTTCTTCCAGTTGGTTATAAAATATCTTCCTTAAACAGCACAAAAGTGCAGTGTCATGGCAGGCAGAAATAATCAACTTTGTTAACACAGCTGGGAAAACTAAGTCAGAAGTTCCTCAGTGACTGAATTCAGTTTACCAAGCTTGTCCATGAAGGAGAATTCAGCACTGACTTGCTTAGATTTATGCCTAATCTAGTACCTGTTCTGCCCATGGTAATCTCAGTGTACTTTGCTACCAGATTAATGATATCCAATCAAAGCAGAACAATTTGAAAACGGAAGTAGCTCTCACATCTGCTATACCATTGTTACTTTGAAATTTAAAATTTAAAGTTTGCCGATTTCCATTTAGGCCTCAGTGTGAGTGCAGCCCTGACTGTTAATCCAGAAGCCTGGAAAATTTACCTTTCACTTGATTTTCCTCAAGACAAACAAACAAACAAAAACAAAAAAACACCAAAAAATCAAAAACAACAACAACAACAAAAATCCTCAAAAGAACTAGAGAGACTTGCCAACTAAAAGGGCTAAAATTTCATCAAGATGCATTTTTTGAATACTTAAAATGATCGAGTATTTTACAAGGCATTTTCCTTGAATTTGAGGTACCCAAACCTTAAGATCACATGACAAACCGATAAGAAATAGTTAGCCAGCAATGTAGGCACCAAGAGGTTACCACCTTAGCAGTCACAAAGGAAGAATCCATGTGAACTGGGTTAACAGCAGGGATGAGAAAGGCTGTTGGAAAGGAGGAGAGGTGGGATTGGGGTGCTTGGGTGAAAGAAAAGGCTGAATGGTCTGGACATGTTCAAGGACACCTATTCGATGAACCTGTGCTGAGTAATACAGAGAAGTAATGTTGAGACTCTTAGTGAATGACTGCAAAGTTCATTTTCAGATGGAGATACAATATAGATATTGTATAAAACAGAAAAAGTCTGTGTCAAAGAATTTCATTATCTCACAAAAAGCCTGATGCTTAGGAGACAGGCTAGTAGGTTGCTGTGTGGTCCCTGAACAAATCTGAGCCAACAAAATAGCAGAAGACACGGAGGGGAAAGGAGTGGACATAGAAAGTACTGGTTGGTATGTGTGCACATTTATCAGATTATAGTTAGGTATATATGTGTATATGTATTTGTATATACATTTACATGTAATATTATATGATATACGCATGTACTAACAAATAAAAAGAAAGTATGCATTTAGAAGAGAGGAAAGGGGAAGGGAGAATGATGTAATTATTTACAGTCTCAAACTGGAAAGAGAAAAAGTACTGGAAAACAGGAACAGACTAGGATACTAAGTTCTGTAGTGTGGATAAGAAGCAGGGAGACAGAAAGGGCAGATAAACAAATGACAAGCTTTAGCATAAAATAATACCCAGAATGGCCAATGATACTAGCAGCTTCAGTGGAGTTTCCTCAGAACTACAATCTCCCAGCCAGTTTGCTGCACCACCTTGTCCCTCGAAGAAAGCCTATTAGGTCTCTTTATGTACCCACCTCTCGAAAAGCCTCACTTTTGAGTGCTTGAAGCCTTAGGTTTGTCTGGGGTTGCATGGTTTGTATTTCTAATCCAGTCAGCCCGGTTTTCTTCTTTTTCTGAAGAGCAATGTACAACTGATAGAGGAGCTTTGTTGCTGCTCCTGGCTTCTCTGTGATGATACTTTGGGCCACATTCTGATCAAACTGCACACCCAGCAGGTGAAGGGTTGGCTCCAAGCGGGAGAAATTGTTAAGTTTGGCAGTGGAACCCCTAAATGTGATGAAATGTTCAGAATAGACATTAACACTGAATTTAAAAAAAACACCAAGTCTCAGCAGTGCTGTTAAGACACAACTCTAAATTACCCCATGCTTAAATGTTTCCTTTCTCTTAAAGGACACAGCGATGAAAACATATGGAGACATCTCCCATTGGCCACGTTTACCTGAATTTTATTTTTCTTGTAGCAGCTAAAATTCATTAATTGTACATGTTTTATGCCGTAAATTTATAATAAAATTTTGTATGGGAAGTAAGTACAAAAACAGACAACCTCTAAGTATTCTTCTAAGTGGATAAAAAGACTACAGTTTTGATAATTATACTTTATCCTAAAGGCAAAATGTCAGTACAAATGCCCATTGCATTAAGTTATCATTTATTATTGCTAAAATCTTTTATTAGTCCTAAATTTTATAATGACAAGCCTAACAATGACCCTCTCAGACGCTGTCTATAATTTTTAAGTAAATGATATTAGCTATGGAATCCATTATGTTACCCTTCAGTATGTGCTTTATAGTAATTCTTTGAAGTGAAAAGGATTCTATAATTTGAAATTATATTTATTTTTAATGATTTAATTTCAACATTGCCTCAGGCTTTAAGAAACTAATGAATTCATTTTATTCCCCTAATTGACATTTTATTCAAATAACCATTGGTACTAAGGGTATACCTATTTATTAAGTTTAGTTAATTTCAAAGATTTGTTGACATATATAGGGCAAGATAGGTAACTTAAGATCACTTGTTGCACTTCCAGAGGATACAGGTTAGATTCTCTGCACCCACATGTCAGCTAACAGGCATCTCTAATTCCAGTTTCAGCGGATCCATTGCCATATTCTGACTTCCATAGGCATTACACATCCATGTGTTGCACATACATATATGCAGGAAAAACCCCATACAAGAAAAATTTTAAAAAATAGTGAAGTGTTAAAAAAATAACAAGATGTGCTCATAGTTAATAAGAAATATATTTAAATAAAGAGCAATAAAAAATTGAGATGCTGCTTCAGACGTCTCAAATGGTTTGCAGCTGTTGGTTATTAATGAATTTGATGATGGATGGGAGAGGTATTTGATGCATTTTAACCACCGTAACACTGTCATCAAGACAGTTACACACATCAGTTCTAGCCTTTGGCCTGGTTTCTTCTTATCTCAGCTTCCAACATTCAAATTTGTTTTTTAATACAAAAACAGGACAGATTATACTTGAATGTAAATCAAAGTTCATACCAAAAGTTATTGCTCAGAATCAAGAGTTGCCATATCTCTGAGTGATTGTGCAAAATGTCTATAGTCTCATGTACTTTATCCACCATACACATCCAGAAAGACAGGGCCTGAGAGTTATCTATCCAACTTAGGTCTGTGTCGTATGCTGGACTGCAGTATTTCGAGACATTATAATGCAGAAGGGAGAATACAAAAGCAATCGCGAATTGTTTCCATTTTTTGCAAAGCTCATCCCTACAGTCAGAAGAACTGATCCCCTCTTCTCACTTGTTTCACATAGCTTCCTGAATGCAGGGTTTGCTGTGAATGTTACAGTTTAGCTTACTGTTTGGTTTTTAGATGGTGTTAATGAACTAGTCCAACTACCCAAACGATAATTCTCCCTGAAAGAATTAATGAATATTCTAAATTCCCAATCAGTCAAATTTGAGGATCACAACTTGAAGGAGTATAGGGAACCTGTGATTGTTAAAGCATCTGCACAGCCAGCATAGTAGGATAATCAGCTCTTGTTTTTGAATATGAAAAGCAGCTGGGACATCTTTGCTCCAGAGACAAAGCCTATGATGTAAATGATGACCTCTGAGGGAATAAGGAAGGTGCACTGGGAAAAGTTTCCTCGCCCTCTGCTGATAGTCTTTGTTTGCTAAGGGACTTAGGTCTCTTCTGCTACTTGCCACCAGGTAACATAACACACTTTCTCTCAACATGAGAAGGGCTGCCCTCCAAAAGATAGTTCCTTATTCACAATTTGTTTTCCTTTTAACTAATCTGCTTTGGCAACGCTAAGATGGTTTTAAAGTAAAGAATCCTCCCAGAGTTAGACAAGTTCTACTTAGAATTAAGTCATTTCGAAGACATGTAACTTCATGTTTTTGGCAGCATATAATTTATAATTTTCATTTCAGACAGGAACAAAGACATGTCCGCAGGCCAATCTTATGGAGGCAATTCTTCAAGCTCTCGCTTCCCAAGCAACTCTATTTTTTGTCAAGTTGACAAAAAAAAACTAACCAGCACAAGGAGCTAACATGTGTTAGGTCATTTTTGCAATAACTTTGAATAACTTTGGAGACCTGGCTTTGGCAGTTACTCTAATAAGAACTGATATAAACAAACAATCATAACTGAACATAATAAGGGAAAGTATCCTCTAAGTATCACTGGAACAGAGAAGGCAAAGGGTGAAATCTGCCAGCAGACTTATGAGGCTTAAAGAATGGTGGATTTGCAGTTGGATCCTAAGAATGAATAAGGGTTTTTCATGGAAAAAAGTGAAAGAATAACAATATGCAAAGATACATGTCTGGTTATTATTCCAGAGGATCGGGGTTTGATTCCCTGCACCCACTAAGCAGCTCACAATTGTCTGCATCTCCAGTCTCAGGGGATTTGACACCTTCTTCTGGCTTCTGTGAACACTGTATGCATGTGGTGCACAGACATTCAGGCAAACACTCACACACATAAAATAAAAATAAATAAAAATCTCAAAATAAGAACACTGCAGTAACAAAAAATGGAGAAATCTGGGCAAAGACTACAGAGGTATGGAAGGAATAAATCGTGATTTTACTACAGAAGCAGTCTTGTTGCAAACACATTCATTTCTCTCCGTTGTATTCTTGAGATAACAAAGGCCTAAATGCCAAAAATATTGAATTTTTGATGAATAAAATAACTTTACTGACCTGCTCTCTGAAAATTCAGAAAAATCACTCTGAAGTTCAAACTTGTATAGAACTTCTCCAATTAGATAGCCATTAGAAAATGCCTTTGCAAATGACTTGGGACCTAAAATTTAAATCATTGAAATAAAAAAGTAAATTATTTTGTGATGTATGTAGTCAAGCCAGCATTACTGAGCACAAACACATCATGTCCTGATTATATTTATAGAAACATCTTCTAATAACCAATGTAAAAGACTTAACAATAGACATTAAGTTTCCCAAAAACAATCCAGTAGTTGATGGTAAACAAAATTTTGAAAGAAGTGGAAAATCTTTTCTAATTAAATTAATAAATAATCTTAATCTAATAAAACTGTCAAAGTATTCTATGAAACTGTGCTCCAAATACTTAAGCAAAGTCTCCAATCTATAGGGATACTATATTTTGTCCAACTGAGATGCAACCTAAATTTTTAAATATAGATTTAATTTTAACCTGTATATTATTAGGAGATGTACTAAAATCTTCCATACTTTAAAAAAAAACCCATAATGGACAAAATTGGGATCTTGTTTCATGGTTCAGACAGATCACCACTGCCCAGTTTATGTTCTGTGGAATGATGGTAATAGCTCAGAACAGAGAATTCTAAAAAGAAATAAAGATGACTAATAAATATTTTTAAATATGTTCAGCATCCTTAATAATTAGTATAATGCAAATTAAAGCAACTTTGAGATTTCATCTTTCTACAGTCAGAATAGTTAAGGTCAACAAAATAACTAACAGCAAATAGTGTTGAGGACATGGGAAAGGGGAGCCCTCAGTCACTGTTGGAGAGATTGCAGATTGGTACAGACCTAGGTAAAATGGTGCGACAAATTCTCAAAAATCAAATAACGTGTCTACCATATGACCTAGCTATACCATTCCCCGGCATTTTCCTGAAGGACTCCACATCCTATTCCACAGATACTTTCTCATCAGCCATATTTACAGTCAATCTATTCACAATAAGCTACGAAATGGAAATCACCTAAATGTCCTTCAAATGAGGAATAGATGATGAAAACCTGGAACATGTAGATAATAATCTCTTCAGTTGTAGAGAAAACTGAAATTATGGGATTTGCAGGTAAGTGAATAAAAATGGCAACTATGCCATAGAGGAAAGCCAGACACAACAAGATAAACATTTCAAGTTCTTAATTATTCTTTCTTTACAAAATGTCCCTTTGTATGGATGCAAAGAGGGTGGTAGTAGGGAATGAGGTGAGCTGTTCTCAAAGACAAAACCCAGGGGACTCTAGTCCACCATAAATGTTTTCACATCTGACCCCAAGACACAATTTTAAATAAAACTTGCTTGATACTTGTTCTCATAGTATTTAATCTGAATAAATTCTAATTTTTAGGGTGAGTTAAAATGATAATATCTGTTCCTCATGGAAATTTCCTCTAAAGTGACAAATCTGGTACTCATTATGGCCTTCCATAAGTTTGTCCTCAAGAGACCAATTGAATTATTATTTTAAAGCTACTCATCATAGAACATGTTCAATGTCGATGAATTTGGGCTCCTAGTCAGTCATACCTGTCCTTAAGAAATTGCCTTTAAATAGTGGACACCTCTGTGTTATAAGGAGCTGCTGCTTGTTTCCCAGCTGCCAGGTAAGCTCAGTCAGAAGAGCATGAGACTCTTAATCTCAGGGTTGTGGGGTCATGCCCCATGTTGGGTGCCAGATGAAGATAGATGTTAAAAAAGAAATCCCAAACTAGCTCAGAATTGAGTATAATAAAAGGTTATTTATTTAGGCATAGACTCACAGATCACAGTCCTCTGCTCAAATGGGGAACAGCAACAAAATCCCACAGCAGGAAGAGAGGGGAACCATGTGCTTTACATGGGCATTTATAGTATAAGAGGCCATGCCCAAGTGGGTGGGTAACTTAAAGGTTACTGGTGGTAGGAATTCCTACAGCACCTCTGGAATGACAATTCATAACTCATAGTACATATTACTTCCATGAAATAAGCTCATCCTTCATAACCACAGTACCTACTGTCCTTAACTTACTATGGCCACATTTGTGATGCCATCAGAAGAACTTGTGAAGATTGGCATGATCTCTCATTAAATGAAAGTGCCATCTGATATGATTCTTCAGCTATCTAATAATAAAATCCCAAGAGTTACTTCCTCCATAGGACAGAACTGTACCATCATTGCCTCCAATTCTATGGTTCCTTTCTATGCCCTTGAAGATCTGGTACACAACAAAGCTGTTCCCTGGCTGCTGTCACTATCCCCAATGGGACATTCTACCTCTACTGCTAATTGCATCTTTCTTTTCAGTTTTATCACTAGCCTCTTCTGTAATTCATCCCTAGCCTATTCTGTAATCCATTCCCCTTCTCTTAGTTTTCTAATAAAGCCACTGCATCTGGAGCCATGGTCAGATTGTAGATATATATTTCTTCCAGGCCCTATATCTTTGGAATTTGGGTTCAATTTTTTGGTACTTTGCTTTCTGTGCAGAAGCTGTTGCTCTGTCTGCTTCCATGACTGCTTCCCTCTGTATCTTGCCCTGTGCTTGTTTATGCCAATCCAATGCCTGGAGTTCAAGCTGCAAATAACTCAGATGTGGGTTAATACTACCCTGTCACCCTCGATATAGCAGATAAAGATGATCAGCAGCAAAGTTTTTGCTACAAAAAGATTTGCTTAAAAAATAAAATGATAATTCACTTCCTTTGAAATTGCAGAGAATATTAATTATGCAACTCCAAATATAGATAAAATAGAAGTGTTTATGGCATAAAGTCAAAGAAAGAGTAATCAGTTATTTCACTGCCAGAATAGTTTATAATGAAAATATGACATTGATCAGCAGGTTTTCATGCAATAAGGACTTCAGATGTACTGTGTAATGACCAGCAAGAAAAATTACACTGAGAAAAAATACATTAAATGGTAAGAGCAACGAAGAAGATTGTAAAAAATGAAAAAAAAACAGAAAAGAATACATGCAAACAATGATGCAGAGAAAGGGAAAGGAAAAAAGTGGGAACAATATGGATATGTAAATTAAAAGGGAACAATCTCTTATCAATGCAGAATTATCATTAATACACATTAACAGGACATAACAAGACAAAAAGCAAAGGAGGAGCATAAGCAAAGGATAATTCAGGGAAAGTCATAGTCAGGGAAGGTGTTGCTCTTTTTAGTTTAGCTGTGTTTTTTTTTTCTTCCCATTCAGTATCACTAAATAGTATGACTGAATTCATAGTAATCACTTCCATGGATTAACTCTACTACCAGTTGGCATTCCCAATGTAAGAAGTGGCAAGTTTACTCCGGGACTATGAATAGTAAATAGTTTAAGAAATGTGCAAGGGGCAGTGCTCGTCTTTAACACAGGTTGTTTATCATCTGGGATCGAGGTTGTTAGGGAGAAACTCAGCCCCATGTGCAACCATGCAAGCCACAGGTCTGGTGCTCATCACTGAAACTCACATGGGACCAAAATATTTAATGTCATCCTCTGTGATAGGTCTGTCATATTCCTGCCACAGGTGAAATGGTCCATGTGCTTCTCTATCATTGTGAACCAGTGCTAGCTGGAGAACACACTTAAAAACATTCACAGTCCAAAGTGGAAGCTAAGGTTATACAAGAAGGGGCTTGGTTTTATTACTGGTCTTTGTACATATCACTTAACCTTACCTAATTAAAAGTCATAGATTTTTATGTGTAAAAGAGAAAGACTGGACCATCTTCCATAAAGAATTATTTGAGAATTAAATGAGACATTGCACATAAAGTTCCTGAAGTCATGACTGAGCCACAGTGTGTTCAGAGGAGATTTTATTGTCATGATTATACTCTTCTAGAAAGACAGTGGGTCATGTTAGCTATGCAGTCTACATACTCAGTAATAGAACTTCAGTGGTGATGTTGCATGGACACTTCTCCAAAGAGTGTTTCACTGTCCAGAAAGCAAACATTTGAATATATATAACACCTTCACATTTCTGACCAAACATCTAGCCTCAGCTGATTTGTACAGAAAAATATTGAATGGTTTCTATCAATGAGATAAAAACACTAAACAGCCCTGTAACATGCTTTGTTAGATATTTCAACCAAACAAATGACAAATTCCAAAGAATTCTGCCTTAGAGATTGTAGATAAAAGACCAAAATCCATGTCACTCTATGCTCAGTGGCATTTGCTCCCTATGATGGGAGGAAAGATCCTATCTACATCTCAAGTGCATGCTTGAAAATCAAGCAAATTTATTTTCCTTTGAAAGAGATAAAGGCCACTGCTGGCAGCTGGAAAACGGCCTGTTTCTGAGAAGCCTCTGCCTTCCTTGGAGCTGGCCAGCCCTCACAGAAAGACCTTGGCCTTCTTGTGGTGAGCATAACCAATTTCTCAGCATACTAACTGCGGATAAGGTTGGTTTGTGGTCCCGGTGGATCAAACAACAAACCCATTGAAATTATGTCTGAACAGAGACAAAACCAAAGGCTGTCTGATGTGGGATTCCCCTCCGTATGCTGTGAATACCAATGGTTAATAAAGAAACTGTTTTGGGCCTGTGCAGGGAACAGAGGTATGCGGGGAAAATTAAGCTGAATACTGGAAGAAAGGAGGCAGAGTCAGAGAGAATCCATGTTGCCCCACTGGAGACAGATGCTAGGAACTTTACCTGGTAAGCCATAGCCATGTGATACACCAATTACTAGAAATGGGTTAAATTATGGTATAAGTGTTAGCCAATAAGAAGCTAGAGCTAATGGGCCAAGCAGTGTTTTAAATAGTATAGTTTCTGTGTGATTATTTCAGGTCTGAGCTGCTGGGCAGCTGGGAAACAAACAAGCGACCTCCTCATAACAGCTGTCTAGAACACTAATGGGACCAAAGATTCCCTAATATGGACAGTATTTATTCATGATGACTGTTTTCTCATTAACCATTACTGTACTCTGCTTTCTTCTCCCTGTTGCTAGGTATGACATTAAGAAATAAAATCAGAGAATTTGCTAGTTTTTGAGAGGATTGGACTCAGGAAAAATCACCATTTCCAAAAATCTTCCTCAGCAACACTC